TTCTTACTATAAAAGTACAGACTCTTGAAAGTATGATTATTGAAATCAAGTTCAAAATACAAGGACTCCACAATAAACTTACCCAGATTGTTCACAATAGTCCTTCACCAACCTCCAATGCTCTCACTCAAAAGGAAACGGAAATGAAGTTCCTAAAGACTCAGCTTATGGATCTTGAAAGGCAACACAAGCAAAATTAATTATCAACCTTGGTTGATGATCCATGGAGGTTACCTTCCACCCCTATGTCAAAGCCTGATTTGATCCACTACCACTTCCCTCTTCATCATTCATACAGATATGTCCATCACTTTTGCTATGGTCCTCAAAAAAAAAAAAAAGAGGACAACCAGACCCGTATAGGTTCCTGCTAGGTCTTTAGGAGCCCTAGAGAGAACTGAAATAGCCTCCTCCAGCAGAACAAAGGTACCCCAAGAGGATACCTCTATGGTCGCATCCTCAAAACCTCCCGACATTCTAAGATGATAAAACCTTTTTGACATGCGATCATAATGCCTTTCAAGGTCTTTCTTCTGGTATGAACAACACTTCATTTTCAAGAATTCCTCTCTTGCATGGGAAGTGTGCTCAATTGGATTTCCTAGAAACTCAACATAGATCTTATGTATGAGTTCTTCAGGGGAATGAGATTGTTGGATTTGTAATTTTCGATACTCTCCAAAACTCATATACCAATCTCTGAGGTGACCTTGACATCTGGTTATGAATCTTTTAAATGTCGATATCATAGTACTGGAGTTCTTCACTACACTATGTTTGCATCTCAATGCTTTTGTCTCTCCATCTTGATGGAGGGATATCATCAAAGGTAAACTGCTGTTTAGTATCACTTTTTGGAGTTCTTGCCCATCTCTGTGTGTTATTACGGAGCGAGCGTCATCTTGTTCTTTCTCAACTTCTGGATCAACATGGTACCCGATTTGTGGTTCCGCCATGAACAAGTGTCCAAATGCTTCAGTTGGCTCGAAATCATTTTCTATATAAGTGGAGGAAGAAATGATTGGTGCAACAAAATTGGACACACTAGGGGTATTCTTTAGGGCCAATAACTGTAAGAAGGAAGAAGTATGGTTCATTTATTCTATTGAATAGAACAACAAAAAAATTTAAGGATGCAACCATAGAGGTATCCTCTGGGGGGTACCTTTGTTCCGTAGGAGGAGGCTATTTTAGTTCTCTCTAAGGCTCGTGAAGACCTAGCAAGAACCCATGCGGGTCTGGTTGTCCTCTTTTCTTTTTCTGAGGACCATAGCAAAAGTAATGGAGATGACTATATGAATGGTGACGAGAGAAGTGGTTGTGAATCAAATGAGGTTCAGACAAGCAAAAACAATAATCAACCCGATCGTTAAAACTTCTTATGCCTCAAGTCATGCAAAGTTTTTTAAGAAAAATAAATCCTCGTTATGGTTAAATCATTCGTTTTGTTACCAACCCATCAAACAAAATGAAGATGTTAACCCTACAAAGGCGGGCCATCCTAACATGAATCTAGATCATTACCAGCTTGTAACTCAGGAACGTTCAGAATTGATTAACCAAGATGTCATAAAGACCACTGCATCGCCATGGGCATGTGAAATGTTCTATGTCAACAAGAGGAGGGAACAAGTTCATGGCAAGCTCAGGCTAGTCATAAATTATCAGCCCATTCTAGCTGATGATAAGTTCCCTCTTCCGCAGAAGAAATCGTTGTTCGAATCTTTCGCGGATGCAAATGCAATATCAAAGTTTGATCTCAAAGCCAGATTTTGGCAATTAGGATTAAATCTTGATGACAGACCAAAGACTGCCTTCTACATACCAGACCATCACTATCTGTGAAAAGTAATGCCATTTGGGTTACAAAAATGATCCATCTGTCTTCCAAAAGGCAATGGTAAAGATTTTGAAACCTATTTTCAATAACACTCTGGTATACATCAATGATATCATCCTATTCTCCCCAGATGAAAAATCTCACATAGATTTACTCACCAAGTTTCATTCCATAGTCAAGGAGCATGGAATCATGTTATCTATAAAAGAAAATGGAAATTGGAGTAAGTTATATTGATTTTCTTGGTATGAAAATATTTGATAAGAGGTACCAACCACAACCTCACATAGCTTAAGAACTGCACAAGTTTTCAAGAATATTAACGTCACAAAAAGAAATTCAAAAATTTCTTGGGTTAGAAAATTATATGGCAGTATTTTTGCCTAAATTATCGAGCCATACTGTGCACTTATTCCCCGTGTTGAAGAAAAAGTCCTCCCCTTGGAGTGAAAAACATACATTAGCTATGAAGAGATAAAACAACTAGTTTATGTGATGCCTCCTTTAAAGATTTCAATTGTTACTGACAAAAGAGTCCTCCAGACTGATGCAAGTGATAAGTATTGGGGAACAGTCCTAATAGTTCAAGATAAATATGGTGTTAGAACAATTTGTGGATATAAAGTGGCATGTTCAAAGATTCGAAACAACATTATCACTCTACCTTCAAGGAAATCCTAGCGATCAAGAGGGGAATAGATAGATTTAAGTTCCATTTAGTCAATCACAATTTTCAGATTGAGATGGATATGTCTTCTTTCCCATGAATGCTCCATTTTAGAAGAAAATTACTCCCGAAAGTCCAACTTTTGCGGTAGGCAAATTGGTTTCCCCAATGGAAATTCAATGTGAAACACATCAAAGGGTAAAAAAAAATATTCTAGCAGATTTTCTGCCCAGGCCAAATGACTATAAATATGATGTCCCTAAAAATATCTAGCAAGTTCTCAAAGCCAAGGTCCTTCCCATGGTGTTTCCCGTTGAGAAAGCAAGTTCTTCCAGTTCGTTTACTCTAAACGCTTCTCGCCCTCCTTCACAGATCAATCCAGTTGGAGATGTCGTAACTCCAACACAAGTTCTTGTGGATGAAGCTACAGAGACTATTGCCGACCTTACCTTAACGGAAAGGTCTCATCTGAACTACAAGACGTTCTTTATGATTGCGCTAAAAAACATGGCATGTTCATGAGCAATCTCTAGTTCCACCTTGACTACATTTTCCTCAATATCTTCCATATTCATGATTCACATAGGTTCCTGAAAGAAGCACTTTTTTGTATATATTCAAGTCTTACACCATCATGATATCCTTCAACTCCGCCAAGCTACTCACATACCTTTTCCAATGTTAGTTCGAGGATCGACCTCGGGAGCACGAAATGTATTTACCCTTCTCTAATGGTTTTTCCCAATGCATCAGTGGACTCAACAGTTAGGTGTCTGCTATAAAACTTATGTTGTCGTCATGTTCAGGAGGCCCTGCTCCTTCTTACCACACACGACTCTCCATTATCATTCATCCACGTGTGGAATGATAACAATCTAGGTAGTAAGTTCTTCGAGTTATCCCATCCTGGAAAGTATATGGAAACACGATGGAACCTGGTCAATGCTAATCTAGTGGATCCAGCATCGATTCTAGAACATATTATAAATAATGAGAAACTCTGGTCTTCCGTTCCGACCATCCAATCTTTGCATCATGGAACGAAGCACTTGAATATTGGTTCCAGACTTTAACTTTCAAAGAAAATAGACACTTTTGATGATGAAGACTACGAAGAAAACGACAGATATTATGACCTTGGAGAAGAGCACTTTGATTCTTATGAGACAATCTATCTCACTCTGACTCGCATTTGAAGTATTGTCGTAGAATAATATTAATAATTGTCTTGATTAAAGGATAAAATAATAATGTAAGTCACTTTTATGCGATGTAAGCGCTTACCTCATTTATGTATCATTATTAGCTAATATTATTACTTGCTTTTGCCATGCTTATGTAATGCTTGTGCAATGGTACCTTTTCCTTATCTATAAAAGTAAGGCTCTCCTTTATTTGTAAGACATCATTTGAAAAAAACAAAAGCTTCTTCCATACATTCTCTCTTGTTCTTAACTATCTCTTTGACCTTAAGTTCATATTCTTCGTGTATTCTCTTATCAGTCCTAGTCTCCGATTCGAGCTGAAACAATGCCTTAAAGTCATGCCAACAAGGATCATTATTCAAGAAAGATGAAAACAATAAAAAAACATTATAATCTTTTTACAATCCGATTAATGTTAGAATATAAATCCACTCACTTTTTACAGTTTCTTCTAGACTGCAGATTCAACAATTGTTCCATTACAATCTAATTTACCTCTCTATTTTTGAAAAGTTTGTAATAACATCAACTTCCAAAACATGTTTCCAATATGTTAAAACAAAACTATTAAAAAGACACAATTTTCCATACACATTAAAATTCAATTGTTTTATCTCTACTAACTTTTTTTTTGGTAAAATGGTTTAATAATTCATTTCCAACTTGTTTTTATTTTATTTGATTTCATTAAGACATGCAAAATGCAACCCTAAACCACCTAAACCACAAGGACGATATCTGATTTATTTGAGCTGGGCTCTAAAGGTCAAAAATGCCTAGAGATCTTAGGTTCAATTCCAATGAGAATAAAAAATCCTCTTATAACCATGAAGGTTCAAATTAGATGACTCCAAGCTACCCGGAAAACAAGTGGTTAACCTAGAATTAGGCAGGTTGGAAATTCAGAATCTGTAACATTAACAAACCACACCATTAAGACCCCATAGATTTGATGTATTTACATTTACCCCTAAGGGTATAAATGTTGTTTTCGTGAATACTCCAGTTTATGAAATTAGATTCTTTTAAAAGAGAAACTTAGGTATGCACTATAATAACAAAATATTTCTAGTTCATTATAATAATTTCTCTATTCCTTACGATATAAAATACTATGGATTTGTGTTTTATGGTTATGCACTTTGCTTTGAATCATTTATGCATGCAATATGACATGGAGAGTCGAACAAATTAATCTTTTACCCAATAATAAGTTCATCCCAAGAATTTAATTTGGAACAAACTACTCGACTCGAGCATACATTTTTTCAAGTCAAACATATTCATATATTCATAAATTATACAATCAAAATACAAAAATTATCAAGGTTGAGTTCAAGCCCATAAACGAGCTTATAAAATTTGAATTTTTAGGTATAATCCATAATTTTGCTAACGAGCATCAAGATTTCGAGCTTGGACATTGAAAACATATCCGAGCTCGAGCTTGAGCACAAAGTTATTCGAGGTCGAACTTACAATCTCGGACACCCCGGTCTCATGTCTACGCGATTAGGTCTTTGGTCTCTACATCCCAACAAACCTAGTTGTATAGCATCTTACTTAATTTAAACAAAGTAGTGCATGTGACATTATGATTTTAGGAAATGGTCAATAATACCTTGAAGTAGAGAGAAAGGGCCAGTTTTTGCAGAGAATATGGTGAAAACCAAGTTTCTTAAATTCACATTCCTTGAAACGAGAAGGATAAAATCCTGAAGAGCCCATCCGGATTATCAGCATGTACCTGACAAAAAAAATCAATGTCTCCTGTTTTAGTATTATCTTACAAGTCCAAATCCTTTATCTGCAAAGAGATTATATGCATAAAATGAAATATGAGGTAGAAAGTTGAAGGGAAACATACCCAATGGCCTGCATCTTCAAGAACATGCATTTCGACTCCACCACCCTCTTCTGCAGCTTGCTCCTCAGCTGCATGAATCCTCTGTAGATCTCCAAGTGCCCATCTGTGTAAGCTTCTTTCTGCTTTTAGAAAATTCACATGTACACCTCTAGGTACATCTTCCACCACCTCCCTGCATTTTCAGAAATGTTATGTTCTTTACTGGATGTGAATATATTTATATATATACTAGTTGTGTACCCGCGCAATGCGGCGGGAGCCATGAATTTTAACGATTTTGAAGTTCTACTGGTTTTATAAGATATGATTTAACGATGATATAGGTTACACTTGGTCTTTACATATTAATACAATTTGAATAAATAAGAGTTATGGTTCCAATTATACACTATCGATGAAAAAAAATTGTATGACAGTTTAAAATCCAATTATATTTAAACGACTCCACAAATATGTTCGATTTACACCAAGAGAAAAAAACCAAAACTTGAGTTTTAAGATAAACACTCAAAACCAATAAAGAAAACTACAAATTTAACATATCATAAACCATGAAAAGACCAAAAAAGATGAGTTTTAGAATGAAATTTCAACTGTTTACCCTCTTTCTTGTTCAGAATCTCATATTAAGGTTGAATTAATACATGTATATATATATATATATATATATATATTTCAAAAAACCCCAAGAACATATTAATTCAGAACATATTATATAATGCAATTTGGACAGACTAA